AGCCTACCACACATTTGATTATTAGTATACATTGTACATACACTAATGGAGATCTTTCACATAAACAAATAAACTTAACGGCTCTCGACCTGTTTACTGAACATGGGAACGCCAAACGTTATGGTAAAACGGTGGTCAAATTTGGGCCCCAAACTCCCTACCTGCTTTAAAACCAAAACCATGTTCGAACTGACGTAATTTGAACAGAACGGTGTTCGAAATGGGGTCACACGCGGTCACTTACAGTAAACCTGGGTTTTCTCTTCACATGGGTACCTTCTAACAAAAAATCCACTTTTTCTTAAATATAAACCATTTCCTAAATGGTACATGTCTGCAATCATTTTGTAGTGGACATGGAACATGGGTATACTGCAAGGTATACCACCAGTATACTGCCAGGGTATACTGCCAGGGGTATACTGCCAGGGTATACTGCCAGAGTATACTGCCAGGGGTATACTGCTAGGGTATACTGCCAGGGATATACCGCGAGGGTATACTACCAGGGGTATATTGCCAGTGTATACTGCCAGGGTATACTGCCAGGGGTATATTGCCAGGGGTATACTGCCAGGGTATACTGCCAGGGGTATACTGCCAGGGTATATTGCCAGGGTATACTGCCAGGGGTATACTGCCAGGGTATACTGCCAGGGTATACTGCCAGGGGTATACTGCCAGGGTATACTGCCTGGCTATTTACGGTTAACCTTGTGGCAAGGATGGGTAGATAGTTGAGATCTTGAAGATCGGTCGACGACCAACATCGGTACCTGTGGATCAACAACAGACTGCTCTTACGGCCTAAAAAGGGATCTGCTGTGGGACTACTTTAATCTTTTTTAGACGACACTCACCACCACTGGCGATGTCTTCGTCGATCAGTCCATCGCCGTCATCGTCGATGCCGTTCCTCAGCTCTTCGTCCACACGCCCGTCGCAGTCGTTGTCGACGCGGTCGTTTGCGACAGTCTGGGTGGGGGTGCAGGCTCCACCGATCTGGGCCAGACGGAGGCCGCCTGGATAGCCATACGCCTCGAGGTTTGTTAAGCCATAGCTAGGGATGCGATGAAGAAGATGTGTAAAAACGCGGCGAGGCTGTAGACGTTCCAGGTAGTAATGACCGTATGCTACCCGCCTCAAAAAAAAGTAAAACAGAAAAAGCCCTGCCCACACTATCAACTATTATTCAGGTGTGCCTCTTCCCAAACATGGGAAATCCGGTACGGTTTCCGACGTCCCGACCCGACGCTCGGTACCCGGTAATTACCTGGCCCGGGTCATGGAATTTGTGTGGTTGTATCCTGGGAAGCTTGGAAGGTCATAATTCTGGCAAAGCTCACTTGCCACCAACCCAGGGTGCCGCGCGCTGGGCCCAACAAGCTCCATTGTCCTTTTTTTTGTACCTCAATGAAAAATTGAGGTATTGTTTTGGGCGTGTCTGTCTGTCTGTCTGTGTGTGTACGTGTGTGTGTGTGTCTGTGTGTTTGTGTTTCCGCACATTTGTAGTCAGCATAACTTCAGAACGCCTTTATGGATTGTGATGATATTTGGTATGTTGGTAAGTCTTAGGAAGACGAAGGTCAAGGGCAAATATGGGCCTCCTGGAAGACCTAATTGGCATAATAAATGATGAAAATGCTATAATTACAGTGTTTTATATAATAGTACTTGTATACATGTAATCTAACATAAGGCAGGCAGAACATCAATAGATACCAATTATGCAAATGATAACCTAATTTGTATAATTAATGTGGAAATTCCTTATTGGTGAATGATGGGACTTTTATACCTTGTGACATGTGTAAGTTACTTAACCCTTGTCCTGCTGTGCGCAACATATGTTGCGCGGCACATACAGTACCATCTATGTAGCACCCTGCATAGGTACAATTTGGGGGTATTTCTCGTGCAACGGATTACACCGCAGAGAAACGCAACGAATGCGGAAGTAACTATGCCACTGCAGGGCAAAAAAATCTTGTTTTTTTTTTATCTAATCAAGACATGAAAATATTGAAAAATAATGTGCCAGGAATGCCAGCAGGACAAGGGTTAAAGGTTAACACCACTATGTATATATTATGTGGAGGTCATTTGCATAATTAATGAGGACATGTTGAAATGAAGTATGACAAAGTAGAGGAATTTTACAATATTAAAATATTGTCATTTGAATTGACAAAACCATAAATTAAACTAGATTATGCTAATTATGACCTTATTTCCATTGTCAATGAGACAAATAAAAAACATTTACAGAGACTCATATATTTCATGGAGGTATGAAATCTCAGAATTCTTTTTGTTAGTTAGTGCCAACATTTCCCAAGGGCAAACATCGATAATCTACAAAGGATTCGAACCAAGGGTCACTAGATTTAGTCTAAGATCCCACCTGAAGAGACCGAAGGTTGCGATGGGGGAAGAGTGAGTTGCTGTATGTGTGCCTGCCGAGATAGTCAGGTCAGTAGCTTCGTAGGTAGTCCCCGGCACGGGATGCCACACGGTACTGCCCGGCAACGGTTGTCCATCGAATATGATACCAGATTTGTCAGCCGACCTATAGACAGAAGGATGGTTCAAGACGTCAGTCACTAATTGTCGTCTCCTTCTGGAACATATCAATCATTTTATCGATATATCCTTGGTAGAACATCAGATGATCACTTATCCTAAACTTAATGTTCTACAGAACATGTCATTATGTAAAAGGAAGAAAAGTGATCTTAATCCAGTTTACCTCAATGAAGAGCTAGTCTTCCACTGCTCGTGACAGAGAAGACAGCCGCTATGTACAGTATTTACAGGATCATTGTACCGGGGATATCCGCTTTTCTCTTTTCGACAAGTGCAAAGAACAGTGGATCAGTCCTAATGACTGCACCACTTTACAGTAGCGTGCAGGTGCGTGAGCGACAACAGCCTGGATTCGAACTCCTAACCGCTTTCTCCCATGACAGGAGTACTAACCCACACCACTGGACTACGCACGCTAAATAAACCTCTTCATCTCTCTCTCACAGAGAGAGAGGAAGTAACAAACGCGCGCGCGTGCGTGCCACAGAAAGACAAAGAAAAAGAGGACAGCTTACTGGATGACCAGGTTCACGTGGTGCGTGGTTCCGGCGCCACCGTTGTAGAGGAGCTCGACCGTTGAAAATGTGTAATCTGCCTCAAACTGGGCCACAGGAGGGATGATCATGGAGAACGGGTCGGTGTCCGTGTTGTCGGCAGCTGCTGTTTTACTACACAGAAGCAACAATTTAAATACATTATTCAGAGCTCTTTTTTGGGGGTCTTTACAAATTTAACGTGCAGGTTTTTAACTCCAAACCAGGAAATAGATTGCTCACACCTGTATTGTACCAACAGTACTGGTTCGTTGGAGGTCACGTGCAAGTACTCGCTCGAACCAGCCTCAAATTCCCAGAATTGCCCTGCGTCCAGATTCCTCGGGTTTCGGCCGGTAACAGTCACCTTGAAAATAAACATAAAAGCAAAGAAGCATTAGTGGCAAGGTGGTCTTGTGGTTAATCTTCAACTTGTTAACTACAAACTCGTAATCCGAATGGCTAGCCGTTTTTTTTTCCTTTCCTGAGCCAGCCATAAGTTTCTCATGTGGATGTAATATAGACGCTCTGCGACATTTCAACCCAAAACTCTGTTAGATATTTTTTTTCCTTTCCACGCAATTATGTCCATTTTATCAGCCTTCATCGCTTCCCTACGTTCTATTTATTGCAAATCTTGTGACGTTTTGTTGTGTTATTCAATTTGGCCATAGCAAGTAAATTCTATGGATTCCATCCTGCGCAGGCTCCGAAACTAATGCGATAGAGGAAAAAAAGCGAGTCTAAAAACAAGATCTCTACCTTTTCAAATGTTGACATTATAAACGTTGTTATGCAAAAAAATGATCTCTGTATTGCGCTAAGTTTACTGCTAACTAATACAACATCTATTTGTCACTAAAGAGATAATTTTAAGTTTTCTATCATTGCACGAATTGTTTTGCTTCAGTGGGAACATGTAAAAGGAATGAAATAAATCACTGCATCAAAGTAAAAGACAAAATCAGGCGAAAATACGCGCGCTGATGTCATCTATAAACTTTAAGATACTTGCTGTGGCCTTATTGTACCCTGGATCATCTTGTATAAGCACGCTGCGTTCACTCGTTAATCACTTGGTTTGTAGTAAGTTAAGAGTAGGTAAACAGCAATAAACATAATTTATTCAAATCATGACCTTTTTTGTGTAATTTATGAGGAAGTGCTAGAAAAGCCTTTTAGTTCAGATAAGGCTGCCATATGTGAATATGATCAACAGATATAATCAAGAGATGAGAAAATGAGAAAAATATAACATTTTCTTCAATAGAAATGGTAGTGTTTGTCCGTTTGTCTGTCCGTTTCTGAACAGCATAACTCAAGCAAAAAGAAGGCAATGTTATTTAGTGTGTGGATAGGTTGGCCCCAAATCTGGAAATGATTAGATTTTGGGCCCACTAGGGGCTCTCCTTGGCACTACAGCAGTACTTCTGGTTTTTGTATCTTTTGTTCTGAACTTGCTATGGTCGTGATGTTTCACTCTGGTAAAAAGCTTTTGGGCTACGGAATAAGAGACTTTAGTTTGGTTCCCCCTAGTAGCTTTCACTGGAAGTGCAGGGACGTTTCAGCCGACGACTTTGAAGAAATTGAAGTGACTGCAGCCATTGTCAACTAGATTTCGGCCACTTTATGCTTCCATGAAATGGTAAGTGATTTTAGCCCTAAACAGAACACCTGGGGTCCGCGCGGACCCCAGCACTATATATTCTGTAATATCTTTTTTGTTTCTAAAGATTTTTTTTAGGTAATTGTCACCCACAAAGTTGTTTCTCAATATAGTGCAGAAAACTCCGTTTCTACCATTTATAAAAAAAATTATATCTGATTTTCTTTTGGGGTCCGCGCGGACCCCAGCCGGCTTTCGATCATAATGGATACACTGGCGTTCTTATACATTACCTTATTTCCGTTTTTATATGTTTTTATGCACTCATCGTATGTCTACCAAGTTTTCAGAGAATGGTGTAGTAATAGAATTAAAGTTTAATAACTTTGGTGTAATTATGACGTCATATGACGTCAGAGCTAATAATATAGTCCGCCATATTGGATTTTGACCAATGACGTCATCAAATTAGCATATTCTATGCATATTAAATGATTTAACATATTTAATTATGTAAGATGTTGTTAATGTTGGAAAAGAAGTGTAATTTAATATAAAACTCAGAAATTTTATGTTTAACCAAAATTACTTCTATTTTCTAAAAAACTAGCCTGCTAGAAACCCGTTGCCATGTCAACACAAAAAAACAATGATCTTACTATTATT